ATAGGTCTACAATCAATATCGACACTTTTTAATATTGTGTCGGTACTTTATGTCCAGAATGGAAGAAAAATGTGTCGATACCTTGTCAAAAAGTGTCGACATTTACACATCGGAACCCATAATTATAATGTAATAGATAATTTTGTAATATAACCGGTAAAAAATATACTGGTTTTATGAGCGAATAGGTCTACAACCTATATCGACACTTTTTAATTTTGTGTCGGTACTTTATGTCCATAATTATAATGTACTAGATAATTTTGTAATATAACTGGTATAAGTATACCGGTTTTATTAGCGAATAGGTCTACAACCTATGTCGACACTTTTTAATATTGTGTCGGTACTTTATGTCCAGAATGGAAGAAAAATGTGTCGATACCTTGTCAAAAAGTGTCGACATTTACACATCGAAACCCAGAATTATAATGCAATAGATAATTTTGTAATATAACCGGTATAGATATACCGGTTTTATGAGCGAATAGGTCTACAACCTATATCGACACTTTTTAATATTGTGTCGCTAATTTTAAGTAACGCGGTTTTTTTTCCTTCATTCAAAATATTTATATGTACATGTTTCTTATACACAATAGGAGTCATGTTGATATTTACGATATATGGAGATCGTTGTTATTCCATTCCGTCTTCGAAAAAATCAGTTGATGTAGGTTGTGTGCTTGTACTCAAACTGAGCTTGACTTGAGGACATGTTAGTTTGTTATGTCCCTCACCGTTGCAGTGGCAAACACAATTGTGTTATGGTGATGATTGACACCAACAATAGGCATAATTGGTCGACCATACAAATTATCTTTGTACGTTGTGTCGAACGTAATTACATCACCGAAGCATGTGTAATCCGATCTCGATGTAGAATCCGACTAAATAAGATTATACAATGCCCCCGATTCGTCTACCGAGTATGTCATAAAAAACCCGGGATCATCATGTTTCTTATAATCAAAGTAGGCAATAAGCGCATTCACATCCCCATCGACGATTTCCTTTGCTTTACCTCTTTGAAGTGCATTGTAGATGTCTTTATGTGTAAATCCAACATTATGATAGCCCCCTGCATGCTGCGTTAAATAGTTCATTACTTGTGACGTGCCAACACCGACCTCTTTCAATGTTGTTGTCTCATCGATATCAGCCTTACTTACAGCTCTATTAGAACGCATAAATGGTGTCATAGCAGGTGTGCACAATGCATGATTATGTTTCTGATCAGACTTACTTATAACCCACTGATCGTTTGTATTTGTTACTGTAACTACGACTCTAGCCTTACATCTTGTTCTTGTGACTGGCGTATGAGCACGTTGACGATCAACAATATTGACTTCTGATACTCGAAACCCTTCTTTGGAACAACAAAATTCTTGTGTCTTCACATTCCCTTCCACGTCAAGCCGTGTTGTTCCCTTACGTGCACTAAACCCATATTCCCGTGCGAATCCCTTGTAAAAGTACCAAGCTTGATCACGTGAACAGAAGAGCTGACCAACTAATCTGTCAGATTCATCAACATTATGTACTTCATAGCATTCCTCGGTTGGCTTAACATTGTCTACATCAGTATTATCCATGGCAAAAATTTTGTTGTGCAAGTTCAGTGGTCCAGGAGTTGATGGAGATGTAAGCAAAGGTTCATTTTGAACATGTTTCAGTCGTGCTGTTTTCAATAGGATATGGTATTGGTAGTGGTAGTTAAAGGATGGGTACAACATTAAATTCGCAGTACATATTTAGGTATGTACAATAACTACAAGTATCGACCCAAAAAACATCAAAACCAAAAATTATAATGTAATAGGTAAATTAACAATATAACAAGTATCGACCCAAACGAGGTGCACATATAATATATTAGGTCAACATAAAGTATCGACACTTATTAAAATTATCGATCCCGAAAATATCGAAACCAATAATTATAATGTATTAGGTAAATTTACAATGTAACCGATATAAATATATCGGTTTTATGCTAAAATAGGTCAGCATAAATGCTAATATGTTATTGTACTTGATAATATTTCCCGTTAAATGCCTATTTTATTATATAAGCGCTATCTATTACATTATATAAGCGTTACCTAATATGTTATTGTACTTGATAATATTTCCGGTTAAATAATATAACATAACCGGTCTAAATTTTAACCGGTCACTTGTTTAACCGGTCACACCGTATATTTGCCGTTTTTTAGGCGCCGCACCGCATAACTACCCCGGTGTAGCTCTCCGATTATCGACCGTGGGTTCGGTAATTATTCTTAGTTATCACATTCATTTTAAAATTATTAGGATTAACTACAATAATAGCCCTAAACTTTTAAGACACTTGTATTTTACTTACCAACTTTTAAAATTTATAATATAATAATTGATTTTTTTATTTTCTATTATTATGATCATTGTCGTTAGTTGATATGACACGTTAAATATTATTTTTTTTTCTAGAAGTTTCCAAAACTTACTTCTTTCAAAGTGATAATTTTTTATTGACTCACTTATTTTGTTATTATTTGACTTATTTTTTTATTATCGACGTTGATTAAATAAAACACTCTTCCCACAACCGTCAAATCACTTATCACCATCATTTAATCTAAATCTCAAACACAAACAAAAACTTTCTTATCTCTATGACCAAACCAATCAAAACTTGAATCATTATTCGATCATCGTTCGTAATCATAATTGTCGATTACAAAATATAGTAAGCAACAACAAAGCAAGCACATAAGTAAAGAGAAAAATTAAAACTATCTAATTCGACATTGACGGGTTGCCAATGTACGGAACAATCAATGGTCAATCTAACAGTAAAAATATTTCATTAATCAAAAGGTTAATAGAGTTTAGTTTCAAGCTAATCTGTTATTGACAGTGACAGTTGATTTTTCTTTTAACTTTTAACTTTGATCGAGATTTGAGGAGATTGTTCAACAAGCTTGAATTGAATGAACAAAAGATTAAAAAAAAAGAGTTAGTTAAATGATATTTTTGAACGAAAAGGCCGTTAAATGACAATTTAAACAATAATGAAAGGGGGTGACGGTTTCAGTTGACCCCAGACAAATCTAAATGGATGAACTGAGAGAGGAAAAGAACCATTTTTTTTAAATGACGATGGCGATCGATTGTTGATGGCACAAGTGATTTGAGCAACAAATGCTAATTTGAAAGAAAATATATTTTGGAAGTTCAAATATTTTTAAGGGTAAATTAAATAAAGAATAAATAAAATTAAAATTTAATAATTATATTATAAATTTTAAAATTTTAGTAATTAAAATACAAATGGCTTAAAAGTTTAAAGATTATTTGTTAATTTATTCAAAATATTATTAAGTTATCAATTACTATTTACTAGTGATTGATAAGGAATATTAGTGGCGTTTGGTTGGATGGAATCTCTTGGAATTGGGGGGAATTGGAATCCAATTCCACCACTTTCCTATGTTTGGCTCAAAATTTTCAACGGAATTGGAATCTCTCATTGCTTCAACTTTCCATCAAATGAGGGAAATTGAATTTCATCAAAGAATGGATGGAATTCAATTCCCTTGTTGGAGGGAATTGAAATTTGACCATACTATCCTCATCGATCTTTTGGTAACTTATTCATATATTGAATAATTTTTTTTTATTATTTCGGGTCGGATCGGATTTCTAATTCATATATTCGGGTCGGGTCGGTTGAAACTTTATTTTGGTCGGGTCGGGTCAGTTTTTTTAAGTGTGATATTCGGGTCGGGTCGAGTTCGGGTTTAGGGTGAAAAATACTCGACCCGAAAATATATATAATTTTATCTTATATATTTAGGAATAATTACAATAATACCCCTATATATATATTTTCAATTAAGTCACTGTTTTATTGAATAAAAATAATTTTTTTATTTCGGGTCGGGTAGGGTGGATTTCTAATTCATATATTCGGGTCGGGTCGGGTGAAACTTTATTTTGTTCGGGTCGGGTTTTTTTAAGTGTGATATTCGGGTCGAGTCGGGTTTTTTAAGTGTGATATTCGGGTTGGGTCGGGTTCGGGTTTAGGGTGAAAAAAAGGGGACCGACCCGAAAAAAAGAGAGTATAATTTTACCTTATATATTTAGTAATAATTACAATAATACCCTCTATATAGTTTTTTTCAATTAAGTCAATGTTTTTATTGAATAAAATAATTTTTTTATTATTTTGTGTATTGTCGGGTTTCTAATTCATATATTAAATAAAAATAGTTTTTGGTATGTTTTTTGGTAACTAATTAACATACTCCGATTGGAATGTATCAAAATATTACTCTATCTTTTGATAACTTATTAACATATTTTGATTGCGATGATTTTAATTTATGATGTTTATTAGCATGATTTTTATAATTTATTGAAATGAATAATCAATCAATAAAATAAAAATTTAATATTTTTTAATTTTTTATAATATATTATTACATGTTAAGTTGGAAAACAAACTAAAATAAAGCAAAAAAAAATAATAAGGGCAATTCTGTCATTTTACATTACTGAAATCAAATTCATCTGACATGTCTGCGAACCAAACAGAATATGAAATTGGATTCCAATTTCATTTCCTGCCAATCAAACAGAATAGAGAATTGTATTCCAATTTCTGACAAATTTCAATTCCTTCACAGATTCCAATTCCCTCATAAACATTCCAGCGAACCTAACACCACCTTAGTTTAGTTTAAGTACTAGATGATTGGATTATTATGGAATTTTAATTTTGTATAAAATTAGATGATTATAAGATAATTATATATTTTTAGTTTATAAAAATAAATATATATTTTATAAATACAAATGTTTGAATTTTATTTTTTAGAAAGAAGAATATTTATTTTATCGATATTGATGTTATTTTTATACATACTCAAATTTATGGTGGATTCCCCCCCCCCCCCAATATGGTCTATCGTGTAGTTTTCAACTTCAGTTATCGGGTTTGCCTTCATTCAGTCTACCCGTTTGTTACCGTTTTGGCTTGGCCATGTTACATGAGAAAACCAAGCTCATCGGCTTACCTAAGCCCCTTATTGTCAACCAGTTTTATCAAACACGTTACATGCATCTATCTCTCGAGTCAGTTACCTACACAAAACTCGTTCAACGCTCCACCAAATCCAGTTGTTTCCTCCACGGGAAACTTGCCCATGCTCATATCATCAAGTCTGCTTTCAAGCCATGCCTTTTCTTGCAAAACAATCTGTTGAACATGTACTCAAAAGCTGGAAAAATGGATGTTGCTCGCCGCTTGTTTGACAGAATGTCCCAACCAAATCTCGTTTCCTATAATTCTTTGATTTCTGGGTATAATCAGATGGGTGCTTTTGATAAAGCCATGCAAGTGTTCACTGAAGCTAGAAAAGCATGTCTAAAACTTGATAAATTCACTTATGCCGGTGCTTTAAATGTTAGCGCTCAAACGGGGGATCTCAAGCTAGGGGTGCTAATTCATGGACTGGTTGTAGTAAGTGGATTGATTGAGAAAGAATTTTTAACGAACTCCTTGATAGATATGTATTGCAAATGTGAATGCGTTGATCAGGCAAGGTATTTGTTTGAGAATTCCAAGCAGATAGATGAGATTTCATGGAATACATTGATTTCAGGTTATGTTCGTATGAATAAAAATGAAGAGATGTTGAAACTATTAATTAGCATGCATAGAAATGGATTGAACTTGAATACTTATACCATGGGAAGTGTCTTAAAGGCTTGTTGTACAAGCACGGATGTGGGGATAATGTATGGGAAAATGATTCATGGATGTATAATGAAACTTGGGTTTGACATTGACATTGTTGTTGGGACAGCATTGCTTGATATGTATGCGAAAAGGGGAGAACTGTACTGTGCAATCAAAATTTTTACAAGCATGTCAGATCGCAATATTGTCATGTATAATGCCTTGATATCTGGATTTATAGAAACAGAAAGGATTACCAAGGAATGCGCTAACGAAACCAGCAAACTTTTCCTTGAAGTACAAAGACAAGGATTGAAGCCCTCAAAATTTACATTCTCAAGCATGCTTAAAGCTTGTATTGCAGTCGAAGATTTTGTCTATGCCAAGCAAATTCACGGTCAATTATGCAAGTATAACTTGCAGTCAGATGAGTTCATAGGAAGTGCACTGATTGAACTGTATTCCTTGATGGGATCAACCGAAGAAAGTTTGAAATGTTTTAGATCAACTCCCAAGCGAGATATTGTCTTGTGGACATCCATGATTGCCGGATATATTCAGAATGGGCAATTTGAAAGAGCATTGAGTCTCTTTTATGAGCTGATGGCCTGTGGAGGAAGACCAGATGAGTTCACTATCTCAAACATTTTGAGTGCTTGTGCAGTTCTCGCAACTGCAAGATTGGGTGAGCAGGTTCATGGACATGTCATGAAAAGTGGCTTTAAGAATTTCAGAATTGTTCAAAACTCACAGATTTGCATGTACGCAAAGTGTGGTGACATAGATGCCGCTAATCTGACATTTCAAGAGACAGAGAATCCAGATGTGGTTTCTTGGTCAGTGATAATCTGTAGCTGCGCACAACATGGATGTGCTACATATGCTTTAAACCTCTTTGGGTTGATGAAGGAACGTGGGATTAAGCCTAATCATATTACTTTTGTAGGAATTTTATCCGCTTGCAGTTATGGAGGGCTTGTCGAAGAAGGATTAAAGCATGTCAATTTAACCCTCTCTTTAATCATTTCTAACTGCATTTGTATTTATGATGTGCATGCATGAGAATGTGAGGGGTTAGAGGGACAGGTTGCATCCATAAATTTCAAAACTGGATCAATCTTCATGCTACCCAAAATTTTCCAATGGGAAATAGACCATACTTGGAACTTAATGATGAACTAACTTTAGTAAGCCGGGGACTTAATTTAGCTTTATATAGAATAGCACTGTTATAGAATACTTGTAACTATATGCACTGGTTATGAAGTCCCAACGTCCTCTTTTCTATTGTGTTGTTGAACTGCTTTATTTCTCCCATGAGCATTCTGATTTTCTATGCCACTATCCTTAGAAGCTTCTGTGCAAGCAGATTTTATTTCTTTTCTTTTATTCATGACAACTATGCGGTTAACCTTTTGCGTTACTGCAGATACTTTGAAAGCATGAAGGATTATGGCGTTGAAACCAGCATAGAGCATTATTGCTGTGTTGTTGATCTCTTTGGTCGTGCTGGAAGATTAGCAGAGGCTGAAAACTTCATCCTCACCTCGGGTTTCAAGAATAATCCAATAATGTGGCGAGCCTTGTTGAGTGCTTGCAGGGTTTACAAGGACACTGTAACTGGGAAACGTGCTGCAATGAAAATCATTGAGCTTGAACCCCTAGAGTCTGCATCTTATGCTCTTCTTCACGGCATCTATGCTGATGCTGCTGTAGAAACATTGGCTGCGAATGTCAAAGAACTGGTGCAACAGCGAGGGGTTAAGAAGGAGCCTGGTCTTAGCTGGATTTAGGTTGGAAACATAGTTCATTTATTTCTGTGGTTGAAATATCTCACCTTTAGAATCAAGTAATCTAGTGAGGTTGGGAGAAGTTTTGGAAAAGACAAGGAATTTGGTTTTGTTAATGAGAGGACTGCTTCTAGTTCAAGCAAAACAAAACACAAAGGGAGCTCAGAGATGAACTATCGCACTATGAAACTTAAAAATGACCATTTGAAACGAGAGGGGCAGAATAGAAAAAGCTGTTTGGACAAAGAACCTACATTACCCAAAACTTGGGTGAGTGTGGGTATGCATCTGACACGGCTATATTTGATTTTATCCAAGTCTTTTCATGTATTTGGAGATCTTTGAAAGGCAAATTTTCCTACCCGTCTAGATATTTGATTTATGTTTTTCTTATGTGCTAAGATGCATGAGCTCCACATTTTAATTTACAAAAATTCATTCTTCGTGGTTGCAGATGATTTTTGGTCCAAATTTCCTGGAGGTTCATCTGATGAATCACCCATTCTGTCACTGTCAACTCTTGTCAGGAGCTATAATGCATCTCCCCTCGACCACCTCACTAAAGAGCATTTGGCTACATGGATCATGAAAAATTATTTCAGCATGGTGAAATTATAAGGTTTTTCTTTTTCCTTTCAATTTCACACATCCTTTGAAGCGTACCCTAATTTACTTATGTGCTTCGTTGGTATAACTCATTTTTATGGAAATTTTGGTATTATTTTTTGTATTGGTGAAACTAAAATTACAAGAAAGGTTGCAAAACCAAACTGTCCTAGACTAAATCTTTACACAGGATCAAGTAATCATGTTACAACACGAGAGAAAGCATCCATATATCATCTATCTCTTCAACAGGTTACGGTTAGGCGTTGGCCAAGGTAAACAAGATGCCAGGTGAGAGCCATCAGTGTGAGAATATTAAGCACCGATGAGTTTGTGTTTATCTTCTTCAGCCTCTCATTCAGCCTAGCCATTCTTGACTTTATCACTTCCTCTTCTGAACCGATGGGTGCTGCTGCCGGTGCCGGCAAGGGGCCTTTCCTGCTTATTTTAGCTGCTGGGTCTGCAACACTTGGTGTCTCGGTGGTCCTTCTCCCCTCTGCAACAAAGTCGCCTTTCCTGCTTATTTTAGCTGCTGGGTCTGCAACACTTGGTGTCTCAGTGGTCCTTCTCCCCTCTGCAAGAAAGTCAGGTCTTCCTCTCCCTTCTTCCTTCTCCATTTTCATCCTCTCAAACATCACCTGCAATGAAAATCCAATATGTTAAAAGTGTCAGAAAATGAACGTGCAATCAGGAGCATAAGAATTTAAGCAAGTTACCTTAGTAGCTTTAGGCTCAAAATACATTGCGTTAACCAGAACCATGAAAAGGGATGACAGAAGATTAAAAGATTGAAACATCTCTGGCCAGCATGAGATGGATCTTTTCCTGTGCCACATAAAGTGGCCCAACGAAGCTAACCCAATACTGTAAGCCATTGCCCTGAAGTAAACAGGGTATATCTTGCTTTGCACCATTCCGAACTGCTGTCTCGGTAGATGTTCTGCCAGTACATAGCTCGAAATGAATGTAACCCACACACTCATCCCATATGCTGTAGCTAATCCAAGTAAGTTACCCAAACCCATCACTATATTCAACGCCTCCATTGAAGTGATGTACTTGAAGCCGTCAAACAACTTGTTTGCACCAGTTTTAAACTTGTTCGTAGCTCGTTGTGCTTCCTCCTTGGCCTATTCTTTAACATTCTCCACTTTCTCTGCTTTATTTTTCGCTATATCATCCCCCATCCTCTTGGCAGTGTCTTTTGCTTCTTTCACAGTATCCTTTACCTTATCGATGGACTCCTTCGCTCTTTCTTTAACATCTTGTCCCGTTTGCACTACGGCCCCTTTTGCTTTGCCTATAGCATCGTCGACAGTCCCCTTTATTGGATATGCTGTTTCTGCCACCTTTTCTTTGGTTCCATGTGCAGTCTCCAAAACCATGTCTTTGACCTTCTCTGAAGCTTCGTCTTTAACCTTGTTAGCTTCATGTGCGGTCTCTGAAATCTTATCTTTGGCTTTACCAAAGGCAGAGGAGACCATGTGAGTACATTTCCCGAAAGCATCAGAGATAAGTTCCCCCGGTTAATGCTTTCGGGAACCATCTTTGTCACGGCCAATGTTGGGAAGCGCGGGCGCTGCTTCTTTCGTAGTTCCGTCGACAATATATTCTCCTGGTTCTGTCTGCTGCTGTAGCGACGGGGACGAGATCGAGACTCTGGTGTTATGTTGGCCATCTTCATCGTACTCAACAACTACGACCCTATGACCATCTTTCACTGTAACGGAATCTTTCACTGCGGCCGCCGGTGAAGCACTCAGTAGAACAAGACTCAAAGCCAAAACAGTTATCATCTTTCTCCTAATCATAGTGAAAGGAGATGTTATAGCAAGGTTGCATTTTTATTGGGAAGATTTTGGTTTTAAAAAATTAAAAGATTCGAGGGACGAAGAAAACGAGAAGTGTTGTGGATAGTCCACGTTGCATGTAGTAGTGGAGAAACGGACGCGTTTGCACTGACTCGACCACGTTTTGTTTCAACGTGGCGGCATTTCGGGGCAAAGCAATAGAAATATAAAAGATTTAGCAGCAGCCTGCTTCTTTCGGGAACGTCTTGCACTTTGTTGAAGTCACCAGTAACACACCAATTCCCGTCTTCTTTGGTTTCAGATCTTATCTCAACCGCACATTCAGAATTAAGCTCATTTCAACCACCTTCAATAATACGATTTTTATTTATTTATTTTACTTTTCTAAATGAATCTAAAGTAGATATAAGGTAATATATGTCCAAAAACTTTCAATCATTTTATATAAACGTTCATACTCACATATAAGTGATACTCAAACTTTAAATCTTAAGGGACAATAACAAATCTCTTAACCACTGAAAAATTTATTATTACTTTCATATACAAAAATAAATAAAATTAAATCATTTTAAATTTATATCGCACGTGTCTTATAATAAATATTTAAATAAAAATATTATAAATAGTTATCATTTATAAATATTAATTATAGTTAAAAGTTTATATATTAAATAAAATTTTAATTTATTTTATTATTAAGAGTTTAATGTCAATTAGAATTAGAATTTTATATGACATGTTCTCTTTATATTTATAAAATATAAAATTTGAAGGATATTGTATATATATATTATTCTATAAAGAATCATATATTATATTTTTATTCCCATTTTTTTTTTTGAAAAATAACTCATTAAGCATCACAAAATTTTTAAAAATTTAATTAGACTCTTAAATTGTTTTTAATTTTTTATTAAATTCCTCAAAAAATTTAAAACTTTTAGTTAAATCCTCAAATTGTTTTGTTTAGCGGTGCATGAAAGAAAAGCCAAAATATATTAACTAGTCAAACAATGTGTTGAAATCCTAATTGATAAGGGAAATCGATTTTCAAATTGTTTTCCTAACTACAATGAAACTAGGTTATTGGTGTATTTGTATATATGAACATCCAAAAAGAATCGGACCGTAAAGTACCATTATTCTTTTGGTTTCGTAACTGATTGGTTGTAGATACTTACTGCAAATACTGCATACGCCATTCACTTTGTAGTTGGTATCGTAAGAGACTACTGCTGAAAGAAAACAACAAGGTAATCTTCTTAGGGTTTGAAAGCTCCATTGATTCACCAAGGTTGGATAGAGAATCGAACATCATGGAGAAACCAAAGATGAATCAGATAAATGACAGTGACTTGCAATATACTCATATTCTTGAAAAACAGGTAATTGGGTAATAAGCCAGCTCAAGAATGAATTAAACTTTAGCGATTCATTTATTATTTAGTTATTGGATTAACCCTAATATAATGCGCAGGTGGAATCGGTTGATTTTGAAAAGTTTGTTGAACAAGTGTTGGAAGAGAGCAATAAGATTTGTGAGGAGAGATTGGAAGCAAAAAAGGCGATGGAGCTTGAAAAGTTCTACAAAGAAGCTTATGAGAATCTGGTTAACATGGAATGTAAAACTCCAGCTCACGTTAATGGCGAAGATGCTGAAGAACAACGTAAGGCTGTTGAGAAGTTCTTGAAAGATGCACACGACAACCTTCTTCGTATGTTTGATGGGGATTCTGAAACCACAAAACCAACTTCAGAATAATATGGAGTAATATAAGTATCAAACATATTATGAATGTTTTTTTATTATTAATTTGATGTTACTAGGTGGTATATATTTTAATTTTTTTTAATTATTGATAATGAAAGTTTAAATACATATACCGTCTTTAGTGTTTGAAACTCGAACTTCTAATAATAATAATCATTCATTTAACTACTGAGATAAATTAGTTTGCGACATTACGAATGTTTAAAGATTGAATTAAACATAATATAAATTTTCAATATAAACTTATATGTTCATATGGCTTAAAACTAATATATATTGTTTTTTCTCTCTCAAATATATCAGTTAAATTTATTTTAGTATAATAAAAAAGGTATAATTGACTATATAAGGTATTTTACATTTGATCAAATATTATCATATTAATTGGTTGAAACGATATTTCAAGGATTTAAATGCACAGTTCTAAGATAATATTATACTGTTGTTTCATGATTTTTATTTCGTTAATTTTAATATACAATAATAGAACCTCAATAAATTAATAATTTCTTTAAAATAATAATTTTTAGAATTAAATTCTAAACAACATAAGATATAGTTATTTTTAGGGGAAAATCACGTTTTAGGATTTTTTAATTAATCTAGGTGATTAGTATACATTTTAAATATTCTCAACTATTCGACAATAAAAGTTAAAATACCCGACAATCTCCGATGCTTGAACCTGGGACCTTTAAGAATAAAAATCACCCCTTTAACCACTAAAATAACTTCATTCATGTCATTATGAATGTTTAAATATCAAATTAAATATAATATATTTTTTACTATAAAATTATATGTTCATATAGCTTAAAACTAATATATATAGTATTTTTTTCTCAAAGACATCAGTTAAATTTATTTTAGTATGATAAAACAAAAGGTATAATTGACTATATGGTATTTTACATTTGATCAAATATTATCATAGTAATTGGTTGAAATAATATTTCAAGGATTTAAATACATAGTTCTAAGGTAATATTTTAATTTTAATATAATATTCTTTTTATATATATAATCTTTTAATTATAATATTTATTATGTCCATAATTAAAATAAAATTTGCCATTGAAATAATCACTTTTTACCATTGAAATAAAATGCATGGAAACGCGTAATTTGGCAAACCATCTATTACCAGACAAAATCTGCTCATTAATTGAAAAAGAATATACTAATTACATAAGGGGAAAAAAGCTCGTTCAAATTGGAAATCTTTCAAAAGAAAATCAAAGAGATTTTCGTCTTAATGCATTTAAAAGATTCGTTAACAAAAAATTGTGAAGAAATGTTGTTATAAGTGCTTCCTTCCGCGTAATTGGTTGCAAAGAAATCATATCATCTTCATTTTCATCCTCAAAAAGATTTTCAACAACACTAACTATATAATTAATTTATAAAACATTAACGATTTTCAACGAGCACAGATGAGCACAATTAACGATAAACATCATTAAATTAATTTATAAAACATTAAATTATAAAATACTAAATGTATAATTACAAATTAGTTAAAAATCTAAATGTAATTTAATTAAAATAAAATATTTATAAAATATTAGTTTTTATGGTAAACTATATCATTGACCACCTAATTATTTACCCCTTTTACTTTAATCACCGATTTTTCAATTTTGTCATTCGGGTCACCTAACTATTTAAATGTTGTCCCAATCAAGCCACCTGTTGTTAAATATTAACGGAATAGATGATGTGACAGTTAATAAAATTTGTATAATTATACATTTAGTCCTCATTACTTACACAATCTATTAATTTGGTCCTAACTTTTACTTAATTCAATAAATTTAATCTTTAATCGGTGACATGTGTCACCGTGTGATTGATTTTTTAATATTTTTTATTTAATAAATTTCATACAATCAAGTGGTGTCACGTGTCACCAGTTTTGAATGAATGAAAAATAAATCAAATCTATAACCATTGTTAGTGGGGTTTTGTATAATTATATGTTTAGTACTTTATAATTTAACGTTTTATAAATTAATTTAATGGTGTTCGTCATTAATCGTGCTCATATATGCTCTTCGAGCATGGCAACATCATCCATCAATAAATTATAGTTAATATTATTGAAAATCTTATTGAGAATGAAACTGAAAAGGATACAATTTCTTTGCAACCAATTACATGAAAGGAATAACTCATAGCGGCAACACCTCTACACAAATTTTTGTTGAAGTATAAGAACGTAACACCGAAACTTTTTGATGCAGTAAGATGATAATCTCTTTGATTTTCCTTTTGAAAGATTTCCAATCAAGTGGTGACACGTGTCACCAATTGAATGAAAAATAAATTAAATAAAAACCGCTACTGGTAGGGTTTGAACCTGGGACGTAAGCCAAAAAATTAAGCACCCTAACTACTAAGCTGGAGCACTAAATTTATCTAGTATACATAACATAACATATATAATTTATAATATAATTAATAATAAATAACCTTATAATTACTTAAATATTAAATAATTGAATAATTTGAAAATATAAAATATATATAAACAAATATTATAATTGATTAATAAATGAATACGCTTTATTTATATTTTAAATCACATTTAATGCAAAAAGTAAAATAAAAGTGAATTTAATATGTTATAATTGAAATGTATCATTTTACATATTTTAAATTAATAAATTGTCTCCATTATTATAATTTTATTGAACTCAAATGTATCATATATTATATTTTAAAATATTATAACATCGATCAGATTCTAATCTTATTTAACAAATCTATATTAAAATAGGCTAATTCAATAAAATCAAGTTTCCCCTAAAAAAATTTCAAATATATAGTGAAGAAATAATAAAATATAAAATTCTTACTCTAACCGGGATATAAACAAGTCAATGCATAAGTTAAAATGCTTACTACGATAAGCCTTCAACTATCACGAAAATTCTAAGCCAACTCTTCATTATATTTCAATTATAATATATTAAAATTATTTTTATTTTTATTTTTCATTAAAATGATTTAAAATATAAATATAAAATACATTCACGTATTAATCAATTATAATATTTGTGTATATATATATATATATATCATATTATCGTATTGTTTAATTATTTCATGTTGGGTTCTTATTAAGTCATTTTCCCTTTTTTTATTGCCATTAACTGTATATATTATGTCGTTATAAGTTTTTTATTTGAATGTTGCAGTTTAGTGGTTGGAGTATTTACTTCCTCTCCTCACGTCTTGAGCTTCAAACCTCATCAGCAACGGTTTTTGGTTCAATTTATTTTTTATTCATTCAATTGGTAACATGTGTCACCATTTGATTGGATTGAACATTTATTGAATTAAAAAAATATGGAGAAAAAAAAATCCAATCTCATAGTGACACATGTCATCATCTTATTGATGATTAAATTTATTGAATTAATAAAAAAGTTAAGACCAAATTAATAGAGTGTGTCAATAATGAGGACTAAATGTATAATTATACAAATTTCATTAATTGCCATGTCATCTCCTCTGTTAATATTTAATGGCAGGTGTCTTGATCAACAAGATTTAAATAGTTAGGTGATTCGATTGATAAAATTGAAAAATCGGTGATTAAAGTAAAAAGGGTAAATAGTTAGGTAGTCAATGATATATTTTACCCTAAAAACGAATGTTTTATAAATATTTTAATTTAATTTAATTACATTTATATTTTTAACTAATTTATAATTATACGTTTAATACTTTATAATTTAAAGTATTATAAATTAATTTTACACACTCGACGAACATTGTAGAATTTTTCTTTATCTATTAATTAATACCTCTTTTGTAACAAAAAAAAAAGTCTCTTTAAATTAATAAATTTATGTGGTCCTGACATTACTAATTTATAGAGATTTTATTATAATATTCTTTTATATATATATATAATCTTTTAATTATAATATTTTATGTACATAATTACAATAAAATTTATCATTAAAATAATCACTTTTTACCATTGAAATAAGATGTATGGAAACGCTTAATTTGGCAAACCATCTATCGCCGGACAAAATCTGCTCATTAATTAAAAAATAACATACTAATTACATAAGGAAAAGAAAAGGCCGTTGAAATTGGATATCTTTTAAAAGAAAAATCAAAGAGAATATCACCTTCATAATTTCAATGTTTGAATAAACCGGACTTATATATAAGAGGGAACCACAAGACAAAATGATGAGAAGCAGAAGTAGTGTTGCGTAATTAACAATGGCAAAGTATTCCCTCCAAGCATTCGCTCGTTTCCTGCTCTGTTTCATGATAGCAGCAGCAGTAGCAGCTGAGACTCGGCCTCTCCATTTGAGTTTTGTCCAACTCCAAGGCACAGTTTCAAGCAGCAATGGTGATATTCAGTACGGGCGGGCCATCAACAGGAAACTCGGTGCTTCAAAGGGGACTAACTGGGACCTTAAGAGACTCGTTCCGAGTGGACCCAACCCCGGTATATCTCCCAGCCCACCCTTAGCCTACTGAATAGGGCTACCTGCTTGCACGTTTAATCATTTTCCCTTTTCTATATAATTAATAAATGGGCCATTTGTTAAGATTATGTTCGGTTGCTTTTATTTAGTTTTCTAGATATTTTAAAAATAACCATTTGGTTATCATTATTTGTAATGTTAGTATTATTTCAGTCTTTGATTCATATTATCTCATTCTTATCTTTTTATTTATCCCTTTGCTTCAAGTTGAAAAATTTTCATCATTTATTTCTTTTAGATGTGTTTGATACATGATATAATTATTTGATACATGATAATTATATAAATATTTGACTTACTACAAAATTAAAAAAAAAAATTGAGTAGATAATCAGGTAAATAGCTAATTATTGTGTAATATTAAAAATTAAGTTGATTTTATATTTTTAAAAAATATTTAACATAAATTGTATTTTTAAATTTAGAGACCAAATTGAAAAGATGTCAAAAGTTAAAGGAAAAAAGATAAAATCATTCTCATTTATTCTTATTGGGATTTGATGAGATTTTCATGGCTTAGGTTAGGTGCAAAGTTATTGTGTTATAGATTTTAGTAACTGATGAACATTATGTAATTATTATATACTATTTTTTTTTTAAAAAAACCATTAATTTTTTTTAAAGGTAAAACACAATTTTTGGTGGTATTTGGAACCCATACAATTTGAGAAGTGAAATAAAACCATTTATCCTTTATTCTTCAAATTTCTTTAATTTCAATTACTGAATGTTCCAAAATCAAAGTAAAAGAAACTTTGAAATTCTTCAAATATTTTTAAGTATTTACAAAACCTAACCTTTAGTTTATAAATACTAAGTGTTAGACGTTCTTTGGAGCCCTTCATTTTAAATTCCAAGATTGGTAAGGTTAAGCACTAACCCCTAAATTAAGTTTAAGATTCATGCATGTTTTATTTTAAGTTTTGGTTTTCATTTTACTGCATTGAGGTTTTTTTTTGTATTCATGTGATTCAAAGAACAATAAATCATTAGAACCAGAAAAAAAAACCCTACATTAATGGAGTAATATGTCAATATGAAAAATTATAGGTTGAGATTAGATGAATATAATCAAAAATCTAGTTTGTATTCGTATTCGTATATTCATTAAGTTTGTACCCAAGAAGAATATTCATTATTTACATAATTACAATAAACTTTACCATTGAAATTATCACATTTTACTATTGAAATAAAATTTTTGGAAACGCTTAATTTGGTAAACCATCCATTTCCCGGCAAAACCTGCTCATTAATTGAAAAAAAATCCACTAATTATATAATTAAGGAAAAAAAAACTTGTTCAAATTGGAAGTCTTTTAAAAAACAAATCAAAGAGAATCTAACCTGCATCATTTTCCATGTTTGAACAAACTGGAGTTATTATAAGAGGGCACCATAAGACAAAATTGAGAAGCAGTAGTGTCGTGTAATTAACAATGGCAAATTCCAACAACTATTCTCTCCAAGCATTCACCCTTTTCCTGCTTTGTTTCATGGTAACGGCAGCAGGTGCAGCTGAGACTCAGCCTCTCCGTGTGAGTTTTGTCCAACTCGAAGACACAGTTTCAAGCAGCAATGGTGACAATCAGTACGGGAGGGGAATCAACAGGAAACTCGGGGTGATTAACTGGGACCTTAAGAGACTTGTTCCGAGTGGACCCAATCCTGACACATCTGCTCGCGGAAGCCCGAGCCCACCCTCAGGCTACTGAACAGCTATTTGCTTGCATGTGAAAGCATCTTTCCTTTTCTATATAATTGATAAATAGGCTATCAAGATTTGAATAATAGGATTACGTATCTCTAAGAAAGAAATTATTATTGGATTGCATCATATTGATACTTGGTAAACAAGTAAGATTTTAGTATTTATAATTATTAATAAATTATAAATTTAATTTAATTTCTCAATAAAAGGAATGATATAAATTGTTTTTCTATTAATAATAGATGAATACAAGTTAATATCTGTTTAATTTGAGATTAATTATTAAGCTTGATGATAAATTAAGTGATATAATTAATATTTAATTTAATTTAAAGATTGAGTGTTTAAACGTTTTTGTGAAATATAAAATCATATGGATAACTGCCTTTAACATGAACTGCTCGGACTTAAGTCGTTAACAGATTTTAATTTCTGTGTTCCTGTTTAAGAGAGGAAATTGTCAAATAACCCCATTATTACCAGAATTTCTTAGAATTTTCCCAAGTGGCTTTTGATATGGCATCGGGGATGACATTCACGCGGCGTGGTCATATTCCTGGAAAATGCTACGAAAATGACAAATATGGGTAGAAAATAGATTCAATCCATTTTGTCAAAGTCACTTTAGAAACGACATTGATCCATTATCTTTTTATTCTTATTACTATTGTTGAAAGGGTTTTAATAGTTGCTCCAACCCTATTTCATATCATTATTTTATTGTTTTCGCTCTTTTCTATTTAATGTTATAACATTGATCATGAATGGTCCATGATAATATTTATTATAAATCTACTCACTAGAGTGCGTACTATGCATATCTATTTAAGCTCGGTTGAACAACAAGAAGAGTAAGGGGCTGTTTGTTAAAATTGAATGGTTTAGCACTGAATGATTTAGCAGTCTGAATGATTAAGAGGCTCTGTATAATATAGTTCTGAATAGAAAATTTGTTTGATAATACATCTGAATGGCAAAAAATAACCATATTACCCTTCTGTATGATTTTGTGCCAAAATAAAATATATTTGTTTCTACCTTGTGAATAAATGCTAAGAAAATATTTTTTAGACAAATTATCAACAATCATAACACAATATAAAATCAAGTAACTTAAAAACACATTTTTTAGACAAATTATCAACATTCATAATAAACAAATCTACTAACATGAAATGACATAAAAGAGTGGTTTATGTTTTTGATGAAACAAAATACATAACAAGCATTCTTTTGTTCTAGACAATTCAACCCAAAAAAAATATTAATTTGAAGCATTTAAAAACAACTGATTAGCAATGTGATCACGTAGATTAGCCATATACTCATTGCTTTGAGGACCCAATTCAACTCCATTTATCTCGTCTTGTTCGTTTCCTTATGATATCCGGCTGACATTAACCTATTCACTTAATCATGAGGTTAACAATACCATCATTTCCTTCAAACATACTAGCTATAATTTTTTGCCCTGCTCAAGAGGTAAGAAACCTGTGGAAATAAATTTGCTCGATGGTTAAGGTCAAAAGACACTCCGAAAGCCACAACAAGACAATTTACTAACTTCACATCTCATGTTCATTTAACATGTTATATAATGAATAGATTAAAAGGGACAAAATGTAAGCATATAAAACTTACCAAACTTTAACTACAAACAGAACCATGAATTCGATTTCTAGATCTAAAATGTAAACCATAATTGAATAAGTAAAATAACATGGAAATAATAACCTCAGCATTTCATAAATCAAACAGGGTATATGCAACATCAGAGTACCAAAGTAACGATAGAACGCTTTGATTATTCAAAAAAGAGTTCGTTGAGGACGTAAAAATAAAACATGGCCATTCCACGCAGAGTGCAGCAATATTGATTCTTCAACTCTCAAGCAAAACAGCTCAACTCTTTCACTTACATGACAATATTCACAACTTTTGCAAGCATTAAATTTCGTAACAAATTTTGCAAGCAGATTGACATAGTGGCAGTGCTTAATGAAAGCAAAACATAGTTCCCTAGCTTTTTGTTACAAATGTATTTTAAATGACCCAAGTTCAGATTTATGTATTGAATAGAAGCCGGAGGACATTAACATTGTCTTATCGACATAGTTCTCAAACAACATGATCTATGTCAATGATTTATTCATGAACTAGAATGTTTAATTGCATATTTGCTACTTCACAAAAGAACACAGATTGACAACAAAATCTGTTCAAGACACAGGCTTATGAAGCCCATTTATTGCAGATTGAAACAAAGTCAACATCAAATTGTTTTAGGTGAGCATTTCTATAATCATCAAACACCGTCACAATACCATAACCACGAGGAATAATTTGAAAAGCAAAAACATGTAGGTGATGAGTATTTTTGCTATATTCAACCAACTTCTTAGAGTCAATAATTACATTTACACAATAATTAAAGTCATATATGCATAACTTCAATAATTACATTTACACAATACAATCATATTTTGTCTTTGCATATTGTATCCACTGCACCAAATCAATCATACTGACAATCAGATCTAAGAATCACATAAATAAAAACTCTTCCTTGGGTTCAGAAGGAACAATTTCCCTAATTTAAAATAAAAACTAAAATGCACTACAGCAAAAATAGTTTTTAGCGGCGGATGTACTGGCGTTTTTACTGCAAACGCCGGTAATTGTTTACATATAGCGGCGTTTTTGAACAAACGCCGCAAAATACTATACTTTAGTGGCGTTTGTATAAAAACGCCGCTAAAGAATCGTAATGTAGTGGCGTTTTTATACAAACGCCGCTATAAACTAGTATTTTAGTGGCGTTTTTATACAAACGCTGCTATAGACACGTACTTTATGGCGTTTTAATACCAAACGACGCTATAGACTCATACTTTAGTGGCATTTTTACACAAACGCCGCTATAGACACGTACTTTTGTGGCATTTTAATACCAAACGCCGCTATAGACGTACTTTGTGGCGTTTTAATACCAAACGCCGCTATAGATTCGTACTTTAGTGGCGTTTTACACAAACGCCGCTATAGACACGTACTTTTGTGGCATTTAATAACAAACGCCGCTATAGACTCGTACTTTAGTGGCGTTTTAATACCAAACGCCGCAATTGTCATAACCTAGTGGCGTTTACGTAAAAAATGTTGCTACTGAAAACTACTTTAACATATCGAAAAAAACCCTAATTTCATAGATTCAGTCTGGGCATCGAAATATATCTCCCCTCCCTTTTATCTCTTCGCATCCACTCTCATCCTTTGATCCTTCGATCTCCATTGTTCGATCCATCTTCCCCTTACATTCAACCCAGATATCTCCATTCTTTTCATTCCCCTCTTTCATTGCTTTTAGACATCTCTCTCTTCCATTTCTCTCTGCAGGCACAAGGCGCAACAATGGCTTCCAAATTTCTGCAGCTCTATGGTAAAATTCGGCTTTTAAATTCCTTCAGAAACCGTTTATTTCGTATTTCTTGAGTTTATTTACTTCTGGTTTTGATAGTCTACGATTTACTTCTGGGATCTGTTGCCGCGTTTTATGTGCTCATGGTGCCCTACACTAAATTGAAGAAAGCTTCAACATTCAGGTAATCTTCTTATTTGATTTCTTTCCGTTGAATTATTTTTTTCTTCATTTTCGCTAGTAAAATCTCATTATTATTTTTGATTAAGGCTATGCATGATATTCTTTATCATCGGCATCGTTTAGATAACGTAAGTTTACCTTCTCCATATCTTATTTTCTTTATTTTTCACTTTAAAACTATGCTTTCTCTGTAATATCTCTTAATTTTGTGCTTAGTTTTATGTTTGTTTTGATTCTGATATCAGTATGATCATTTGGAGTTTCCAGGTGTTGTTCCTCGCACTTTTATCGGTAAGCTTTGTTGCTTGTAAGAATGAGTGAGTTTAAGAAAATTTGCGTTTAAAACTACTTTGAATCAGCCGTTCTGATAAACTTGGACATCATTGTATGATGCTTATTTTTTTTTCTCTCAGGGGCATTGCTTGTGTCAATTTTCGCATCTCCAATTGTATTAGCAGTGCAACTGCTGAAGTTGCTAAAGATTTATAGTCTTATAATTGGTTAGTCATCTGAATACTCTTAGCTGATAGATCTTTGTTTGTTAATTCTAACTGAACTTTGTAATTCCTTATAATTCTTTTAAGACATGCTATGTCAAGGATGCCAATCACAGGATCAGCTAGCAGAAGAAAAAGGGAACATATTTTTGTTTTCATTCAATGAGATATTTGTGTATGTTTAAAATTTCTATCGAATCTGCATTGTTCAGTCGAAAGAATCGTGTTTTTCTTCTGCTCTTAGGGTTGTTTTGGTGATTTCTCGATTAAACTGTCTTCTTCATTATAGCTCTTTCATTCGTTACTTTTTAACATAAAAAAGACTAAAAGAGAGCGTTATTATTAATTAAATCATATGTGTATATAGTTCAAACCCTATTAAATTTACTAACATAGATATTATAATGTATATCTTTGCAAGCAAGAAATTGAATTCAATATTAGGTTCATTTAATCGAAACTTTGATGAGTGCAAATATGCGGTCGAATAGTATAATGAAGTATGAAATTTCGTGAGTTTGAAGGGAAGACCTATACTTGGGAATAACCCATCATGAGAACCTTGCTCACGCACGTTTGCTTTCTTTCTAACCTTTCCTTTTTCTGGAGTTTTGGAGCTTTTTCTGGGTACTATTGATTTAAAATATGTTGGTCCGATAATCTGTTAGAAGTTATCATGAAATTCAAGCTTGGATGTTCTGGACAATTATTAAGATCTATCTCTATATTTTGCTTATCATCATGAAGGTTGCCCATGCCATAGAGTTGTTGACTGCTGGGACTGACCATGCAGAATGTGTTGTTAACTTTTTTAACGTAAGATATAATGGATTTTCATATAAACTGATGATTATTTGGATATGAAACTAGAGATCAGGTTTGCATTGCCATGGATGGGGCCTTTTCAAGTGGCATGCCAATTGGAGTAAGACCTCATGAAGCAAATATCTGTGCAAGAAAATGACAGGACGATACTATCTCTGCATCATTGTTTTCCCATATAAACTGGATTTATCTCTTTGAATTTAAGCGCCTCATTGTGACGAAGAGTTTTGAAGAATGTGTAAGATTAGAAACAAAATATTAGATATTATTGTTTATTATAGTTAATAATGTTGAACTACATTATATTTTACGTTAATGTAAACTTTGATTTATTATTATGGATTCATTTTTCTTGTTATGGATTTAAGTTTGTTGTTATGGATGTCAAGTTATTGGAAAATGCTACAGGTTAAATTTGGGTAATAAAAGAGTAGAAAAAAACATTTGACAAATTAGTTTTAATTTGCAAAATCAATTTCTTTTAGCTATAGAGAGGTAATTAGCGGCGTTTGTATCTTAAAACGCCGCTATATACCAGATTTTGCGGTGTTTGTGGGAAAAACGCCGCTAAATATCAAGACCTATTGCGGCGTTTGTGGACAAAACGCCGCTAAATATCAACACCTATTGCGGCGTTTGTGGAAAAAACGCCGCTAAATCTCAACACCTATTGCGGCATTGTTGGAAAAAGCCACCAAATATCAACACCTATTGCGCGTTTGTCCAACAAACGCCGCTATATATCGTTACCTATTGCGGCGTTTTTGTTACCAAACGCCGCGAACTTTAGCGACGCTATTTGTAGCGGCGCTTAAAAACGCCGCTATAGGTATAAAAAAAACGCCGCAAATGTACAGTTTTGCTGTAGTGATGGCTCCTAAAATTTATGTAAAATGGGTTCACAGTACACGATAACTTTCAGGTTCAATCTCATCTCCAGAGGAACCGAACTTATGACACCATTGAGTGATAGAAACCCCATATCAAATGAAGCACAAACATCATTAAAGTTAAAAGAAATAGATATTGTTCACTTCGATTTCGATTTTTGAAGGTTTTCTCAATAATAGCTCCGTTCCATTTTATCTTGGAGTTTTCATATTTAAAAATTGCAACTTGAAAAAAGTCTAAAAGCAAATATATCCTGGCAGATTGAATGGGATGATAAAAGTAGGAAAAAAAAAACAAATCAATTTGCCAAAGCACATTAACACGGATCCAACAAGCAGGTAAAGCGAAGTAAACGTAAGAATTTTGAAGTAAACAAGCAAACAATGGACCAATAAATGACTGGAAACTCTAAGAAACAAGAGACGGAAAGAATCTAACTGAAATCAAGATTTGAAACGAAAATCTAACAAAAGATTTAACTGACTGAAGAAAAAGAGTTACTTATCAGTGGAGGAACAAGAAGATGGTGAAGAAGAAGTAACAACGAAAAGAACCGAATGTAAATGAATCCACGAAAATGACGAGGGAGGCGAGTTGAAGATGAAGACAAAGAAATAATTACCTGGTTGTGTTCTCTACGGTGGATGAATTGACCGAAGGAGGTGAACGACAGAAGAAGGATGAACGACCGAAGGAGGATGAATCGATTGCAGAACGTAGAGGAATTGATCTCTGTTTTGGGCTTGTAAACAAGAACGAGAGGGGTAAGAAAAAGGGTATTAGCGTAATGATAAAAAAACTGAATGATTAAGCGTGCTTTTTTAGTCTGAATCACTCAGCCCCTCCAAATCATTCAGAGCCATGATTTTGTGCGAACCAAACACGCTGAATCGGACCGATTTAGCGTTCAGATATGAATGATTCAATTCAGAGCCAAACAAACAGCCCCTAAGTAGAGGAGAAAAATGGAACGAAAGCTTCGATGCTTGATTTTGATGCGTCGGTGTTATGCATAAGCATGTTGAGCGGCGGTGGTGGCGTGATGGCACAAAGCGCGGCGGAGTGCAAAGAAGAGAGGAGAATACTTGTGAACGCATGCAAGGGCCTGATAACACGAAAGCCTCCGACATCATATTGTTGTGAGAGGTTGAGGGTTACACATGTTAACTGTGTATGTCCTGTAATAACGCCTCAGCTAGCAGCTTTGATCGATGTCAACTATGCTATCAAGGTTATTCAGGGCTGTGGAAGACAAGTACCCCGCCATTTCAAATGTGGAAGTAAGCTTCAAATATCTTATTATTGGGGACAGTGATGGACCAAGGGGATTTACGGGATAATCACGACTTCTGAAAATTTTAAATCTTATACAATTTTTATTTTTTTATTGATAATATATTTTAAAATTTTATAAATTCACTTGCAACATTAAATTCGTTGTCCGTTGAAAGAGTTAGTGTAATTACATGAATTGAATGATGCTATTTTCATTGTGTATGCAGGTATAACCACACCATGAGAAGATTATGCTGGGGAATAGTCCAGAATTCATTTCCTTTTATGGTATGATTATGGGCACTTTGTTGTCTGTCTAATAAATTTGTTTTGGGTACTGATAAGCTATGTTTGATGTATTCAATAAGTCAAGATTTTATTAGTGTTATACATTATATATATTGTGTTGAAACGATTTCTTAAAATTATTATTAAGTGATTTGTAAAATTTCGTTTTGATTAATTTAGTGCTTTTTTAAATAATAATAAAAACTCGATTCGAGGAATCACCACCAATCTTTGATAAGGGTGTGATTGGGCATCCAAAAATCGTCATTTTAATAAAAAAAATAATTTTAATATTATTAAAACATCGTTTTTAGGTCCACATTCCAAAAAATTGAGTTCGAGAGTCGATTACACATGAGAAATGGTTAGCTCCCCACAGCGCTCTAAATCGATACCTAATCTCTTAATTAATTGTCTTTGCAATGAAATTTACTAGTTACATTTAATTTAATTTAATTTAAGATCCCTTTAAATAACACCCTTGAATTTTAGGACGGAAACAATAATACTTGATTATTTCCTATCGAGAAGAAACGAAATCATGCCTTAAAGCATCCAATTCTTACTCCAATTGAAATAAAGACATATTACGTCCATTCAAAAATTATTATTGGTTCAAATTTCAAAATGCATGAACAATGATAAAATAAATCAATTTAAATTATAAATTACCAATCCTTTTAGAAAGACGAAAGATGTTCGATTATTTAAAGACGTCGAGATCGAAACTTTTATAAGTTCTAACGATTTTTTCGACGAATTTAAATAGATGAACATTTTTTCTCTCGTTCCCAAATTTTAAGCGTAATCAATTTTTAGGATTTCACTTAATGGGATATACTTTTATTTTAAAATTATCGAAAGTGACTTTCTTATAAGTTAAGATAATTACTTCACAACGACCTTAAAATGAAAGGGTATTACCCTTAGTCTAATTATTTAAACGAATCAAGTGATTTTATGGGAGATATCATACATATCAATGAATAAACAATAAAACCTAGATCTATATGTTCATGTGAATGCACACATATACACAATATTTTAGAACAAGCTTAGATGAATTAATACTTTGCTTTTATCCCTGAATTTGGCATACAATATATACATAGACATCTTAAAATAGAACTAACAGGTATATTTGGTCTTAGTATATCAAATAAAACATCATATCCCATTAATTGAAAAGAAATTAAGGACGATTAAACGTTGATAAATTAATATATTTTAAAAAAGGAAGGTGACCACCCTGTATGCGCATAGTGTTCATAAAATGTATACCTTGATCTATTATAAATTAACATAAACGCATGCACAGTGATGGTAGCAAAATCTGGAAACCTATTTAGGACAAACAAATATAAAGACCCATCATCAAATTAATCCAATAAACATCAGGACGTGAAGCACAAAACTCTCATATTCAGGGCACTAAAGTCTAATAAAACCAAAAGATGAGGGACTAAAATAAAATTAACAATTATGAGCCAAATGTACAAGCATGGATAAACTTAAGAAAAATGAGCTTAAGGACCAAAATGAAAATATCGTGAAAATATAGACAAAAATTAGAAATTAGAAAAGTCTCGAATTGAGGACTAAAATGAAATAAATTGAAAAAAAGGTGTGGCCCATACCCCCTCCCCAAGCGCAGAAACGGGTACCCTTACCCTGGACGAAACGGTTCCGTTTTAGCGTCGCTATAAAAAAGATATTTTGGGTAAAAATTTTCCCATAATTCATTTGCTTCCCCTTTTTTCTTTAAGCTTTTCCCTCTAGCCTAGCCCGCCGCTCTCTCCTTCACTACCTCATCTATTTCTTTTTCACACTTTTTCTTTGAAACCACGCGGCCACCGTGACCGCCACCTCTAAGGGCTCCGACGACGGGCCAAAAATCTTAAATCCTTCCAACCTGGTTTTTCCCACAACTTCATCAATCTCTCTCTGTGTTTTCCTTAGCACCTATGGGCTGTTGATGAGTTATGCAAATTCGCACTCGCACTTGTATCTGTACCGGCTGACGGCTGTTAGAAAGTCCTACATAAAATATTTGCATTTGTCACCGCGGACAAGATTAAAAAGACTGAAATAACACACACACACATATACTAACCAAGATTAAGGACTTGATATGATTTCTGGTTAATTGAACCTCTGAATGAGCATCTTCAAAGACGTCAAGCAACATATCCAGAAAATCCGGGCTTCATCATCATCATCTCGCTTCTTGTTTTTTCTTACTTGTTCTCTGTCACTTATAATCTTTTCCAACAATTTATCATACCTTCTACGGATATCCTCAAATCTCTTTCTGAATCCTTGTAGATCCAAGTGCTTGCAGAATGCAGAACCATATAACATCAGAGACATTGAATTCGCCGATGATCTGAGACACTTATCGCACTAGGTTTCGGACCCCATCGGCCTGTTCTCCGTTCGGACCGGTAACACCATTGGACCTGGAGGAAGCTTGGAACGTTTTTGATGGAAACCATTGTTTTAACTATAAGAAATGAAACCAAGAACAAGGTGACATACGAGAAGAATGTAGATCCTGGCCGACTGAAAAACCATTTGAAACACCAAAAGAAAATGATTTTTGATCATTAGAATCTCCTTCCAAACAAAGAGCTATGTTCAGATTGTATTTGTTTTAACAAGATACAAATATAAACAGAATACTCCAGCCGTCCTGCACATTTATTAAACATAATAACAATAATACGATACAAATATTTATAAAAAACTTCCGTCTTCAGCATTGGAACTAAGTGTCTGGCCATGACTTGCGATACATTTCTGTAAATTGACAACTGCACAATAACACCATATAACAAGCATAAACATGAAAAGCGCTGGACGGAAAGCTTATTAACAATATACAAGGGCGGTATAATTGCACCGAGTCCAATAAGTATAGGCTGAAATTTTCTCCTCTAATATAAATTCAACGCTAAAAGCTCTGTTCAAACACTCCAACTCAATTTACTCAGCTCATTCAGTAAAGACAAGGTTCGTGTAATCATCTTGTTAGGGTGAAAAAGAAAGATAAAATGGAGAAAATTTTGATTGCATTGATGCATACAACGACATATGAAATGAACAGGGATTTATAGAAGGTTATTTCGTTTTCTGACAACGGAGGAAGTTAAAGATTTTTTGCCATATTGTTGATGTTGTTCTTCAATTTTGCCTCCTCTTTAGAAAGAGATTTATGTTTTATTTTTAAACGAGAATATACTGGTAGTCAAAAGATATTGTGCATGAATAATGTAAATTCAATTTCTTAAATATGTCACATCAGATTTTTGTAACCGGAATAATGACTATTAGTAACTAAATAACGAATTTATTATAAAATAATAATATTAATAATCATTCCGTATTAATAAAACTTTAATACTGAAAAGAAATATTAATATTTTAGTGACAACCTGTATATTTATCTTAAAACTTTATGGTGCATATTATATTCATTCTAGGCCTAAGCCCAATAATATTGATTCGATCCAGGTGATTGTTAAGTGTTAAGCCTTGAGTTAATATGTTACTGCAACGTCAACAAACAACATAAAAATATAATGATATGAATTGTTTTACTTGAATTTAATTTTATTAGTATTTATGTTATATAAAAATTAAAATAATGAAAATTAAAATTTTATCCCACCCTCAATCTCACACTGTTTTATCTTTAAGACAATTGTTAAATATGCGTTTAGTACCTAAACTATCAGTTATTTTGTTTTAGTACATAAACTTTCATTGTTTAAACTCATACCTAACGTTATTTTTTGTTTATTTTGATACATCACCGTTAAAAACTTAGATCAATTGTTATAGTATGGCATTTTTTCATGGGTAAATTGCATCATCATCACTCATCTATCTTCTCACTCATATTTTAGTCACTAAAGTGTTAAAATTTTATTTTTGAAATGAAAAAGTGCCATATTGCAACAGTTTTCCTGAGTTTTTAACGACGATACCAAAATAAAACAAAAAATAAACATTAGATATGATTTTCAACAAATGAAAGTTTAGGTATCAAATAAAATAAAAAATAAATATTAGATATGATTTTAAAATAAATAAAAGTTTATGTAGTAAACGTATAATTTACCCTTAAGGCCGTAAACAAAATAAATAGAAAATAGGCATCAAAGGGTCTAGAACCTGCACGATTCGGTTGCTCTCTTTTTGATTTGCACAGTGCTGCCAGGTGCTGAGTTTGGTTGTTGCTAGAATCTTCCCAATTTTCCTACACCAGAAATTTCAAGAATTTACCCACTTTTATCCACATATAAATATCCCCTCTAACCTTACCATCCATGCAATAAAAATATAAAATTCAACAATAATCAACTAGCAGCTAGCTTTCCCTGTTCTGTCGTCTTTTTAAGTCAGTGGTTTACTTCCAACTTCCAACTTCCAATTCAAGAAGATTACATAACTCTCATTCTGTACATATACACCATGAGGCTCTTGCTGTTGCTCTTAGTGTGTTATATTGGCCTATGCAATGGGTCGAGTTTGCTGCCATTCATGGACAACCAATACCCAGTTGGTGGCAGTCTCTTGCTCCCTGATCCGCTCCGAGTGTTGGAACAAATCCCGCTTGCCCTCGAGAAGGACGAGAGCGTAGCACTGTCGCCGGCGAGGGTTGATTGGAAGGAAACACCGGAGGGGCATACGATAATGCTGGATGTGCCGGGGTTGAAGAAGGAAGAGCAAGATCGAAGTAGAAGAAAACCAAGTGCTGAGGGTGAGTGGTGAAAGGAAGAGAGAGGAAGAAAAGAAGGGCGACCATTGGCACCGGGTTGAACGCTCGTATGGCAAGTTTTGGAGACAGTTTAAGTTGCCTGAGAATGTGGATTTGGACAGTGTGAAGGCTAAGCTTGAAGATGGGGTGCTTACTTTGTCTTTGGCCAAGTTGTCTCCCGACAAGATTAAGGGTCCCAGGGTTGTCGACATTGCCGGAGGAGAAGCACTCAAACTCAAGGGTAATGATGCCAAGCAGGAGCTTTAGAGTTTTCTTGGCATTTCTCCAGGCAGCTTAAGTTAATGAATGTAAGAGAACAAAATATCACTATAAATAAAACATTTGTAATGAGAGACTTGTCCACTCGAAATTTGAGTTTCGTAATGCAATTATGGGTGTTTATAATTATTTTCTCTGTTTCCCTCCCTACGTTGATTTTGTTGATATGTTTATATCAATTAAAAAGTATTTTAGAATTTTATATTTAAGACATTATTTGATTAATTGCAAGAGACAATAAAAATAAGTAATGTTTTAGTATATTTGTCACAATCTTTTTTTTTTATGCATTTTAAATGATTTTTTAATAAAAATTGTTAATTGAGAAATGCAAGTATTTCTTTTATGCTTGCATTTCATAAAATGCAATGAAAGAATTAATGTACATACAATACAAGGAGCCTACTATAGATTATTTACTCTTTGATTGTTTAAAATCTGAAGTATGTCTCCACAAAAAATTAAAAACAATTCTAAGGGAAGAAACCTAAGGTTTATTATCATTTAAATAAAAATGAGGATTACTTAAAAAAGAAGTTATCAAATGCTTCAATTTTAATATATGTATATACATATATACACGTCATAATAGAAAAAAAAATTAATGGCTGTATATTTGAACAAATTTGTTAATTAATGTAAACAGATATAAATAAATTTATAAGAAAAAAATGTCTTAATATTCCCCTTTATGAAGAAATCTATCAAAGTTAAATTTTCATAATGAAATGATCCAACTAAAATGTTTGCCTGAGCGGTTTACGGTTATTGTTTTGTTGTTGGAGAAATAAATTAGGCAAAATCGGCCCAATCCAAATGGGTAAATTATTTAGCCAAGATGATCCGGAAATTATTTTAGATTTACGATATTTGTTATAGTGCACGTGAAATTCATCACGTCGGCGTGACGAGTTTTATAAAATATATTTAAAATTAAAACTCGTCACGGAGGCGTGACAACATTCAGTTATCATCATCCTCGTGGCGAAGAGGTAGGATAATATAAAATTATTAAAAATAATTTCATCAAGATGATAGAGAAAATAAATAGTAAGAGGTTCCAATTTTTGAAAGAACGTTCCTAGGCTCTACTAGATTCCGAGAGAAAAAAACTTCTACCAAGTTGTCAAAAAGAAATAAGCATCAAGTCCCATTTAGATTTTTCCCAATGATGGTTTGTTTCCCCACAAAAGTTTCTGTCATCGAGGCAGTGCCTATTCAATCTTAAAGTATAGGAGAGCTTTCAAGCAGCCAACTTAACATTTATAAAGCATAGCTGTATTTTAACACTAACATCACAAAATGGACATATACAGATTCAGCCAATTATGGACGTATCCAAAATGTCAAAAAAATTTAGGTATGTTGGCCCTTCCAAGGTTTACAGGCTGCTCAATGCATGCTATTTTCCATTCAATTTGAGGGAAAAAAGAAAGAAAAAAGAATGGAAGTTAGCGGAGGAAGAAGTTACTTGGGCAGGGATGTGCCTATTAGGGCAGCAGCCCAAGATCACTAGCACATTGCAAATGACCCAAAACAACAGCTTAAAACAACTAATCGATCAAAACAATACTGAGATGATTTGAAAAGATTTCGACCACAATTTACCTGATATTGGCGGCTATCAAATAGCAGTGCTAATTTCCTCTTGTCACGCTTAATTGTTTTAGCATGTCCTCCATATAAATAGCGTCGATGACCCATTAAGAAGTGGGGGAATTTCCCACCTTGTGTCGTGACAAATACTTCATTGTGAAGACAAGTGCTGCCAACCTAGATGAATGGCCCTACATTATGAACTAGAATATTACAAAATTTATTCATTTCCAGCTTTCTTCTTTCTTCCTCGTCCAAAGCAATTATTATTAGATTTTGCTCTGGCCGATCTAACAAAGCAACAGGTTAAAAGTGAAATTGGTACCTTGAATATAGCAAGTTCTTCTGGAGTAGCCAGTGTATCCTTTGTTTCTAGAAGTGGAAACATCTGCTTAAGGGGAGCCATGTATTTTTCTGCTTTGTAAATATTTCCAGCGGCAACAAACACTGATGTATTTTTATCAAAACCCATGCCCCTAAGCATCATTCCCACCTACAGGACCAAATTAATAGATCAATAAGTTAATGAATATTGATGAATAACTTATGCCCTACCACAAAAAGAAGCAAAACAAGTTATAGTTGGATACCTCCAGAGGAGTTAATGGGCATTTTCCATCCACACGATTTGCATCTGGCCTTATAACTCTTCCCCTTGGCCTAAATTTTCCTCTCCAACTTCTTTCTCGCGCAATATCCATCTCCTCTTTCTTCTTCCCACCATCATACTCGCATCATGAAAATGCAACCATATCCTTCCCAAAGAAAAATATCTTTAAAAAATAAAGCACAGTGGCTAAACAGAACTCAAGAATCGATGAATTATTCATCCGTGTACAAGGAACAAGAAGAAAACCATTTCAAACCGAAGATGCACTGAAACATAATTTCCTCCACTATGGGAGCTATTCTTGAGCATCCTCTCACCCATTTTATCCGCAAGCGTCCGTATAGGTTCAGAAAACCTCAGTGCCTCAAAATTGGATAAGCATCTAAGCTCCTGTAGGTTTGAAGGAACTGAATATGCCAACCTTTTAGAAAAGGGTGCAATGCGAACAGCCCTGAAAAGATGAAATCGCATAGCAATTAACTCATATCATGTTATGCGTTACAAATCAATGTCAACATATCATATTCCCTGTTGTTAGAAATTAAGCATGGGGAAGGGTAGATGATACCAAAGAAATGATAACCGTACATCTCGAAAATATTAGCAGCTCTAACTGAACATAACTAAGGTATTATAACATATAAAGATGTTCTATAACAAATATATGCAAGACTTGAGACTTAAACCAATCCAAAAGAATAAAATCCTCAAATTTCTTCAGATATATGTACATAAATATATACAGCATGAATTAAATAAGATTATGTTCTAACCATCACAAGACATGTTTAGTGAAATAAACAAAGTTGAAGAACTATAATGCTATCAATAACTGATTTCCTCTGAAAACGAAAGTTTTGATAGTAATGAGATCACCATGAGCAATCTAGAGATGAAATTGGTGTCATGTGTGGAATAGATAATGAAAAGACAAATTTTGACCCTTTGGAACTTTTTTTTAGAAGTCTACATGCTGCAATTTAAAGGCACTTCCCATTAGTTATTTGAAAATTGAACTTTTGTAAATCTTTCCTCCTTACTCAGAATGCTGAAATTTTCCTGAAATTCATTTAGCTGTCCCAGACCAAAAGGAATTGAGAAGGATCCTCATAACTGATCCAGCTAGTTCAGAAAGTTTTTACAGCATTAGACTTTATTCTTATTCATCATCCTTCAGTCAGAAATTGTGTTTCGTATAGAGGTGAATATACTTCGCTACACCAGACCACCTAAGTTTTCACCTGCTCCTCATTTACATTTTAAAAAGGAATTGCAAGAATATTGTCATTGATTTAATTTTCCCACAAGTTTGCTTTTCTCCAGGGAATGTATTAGGATATACCAGCTTGCTTCGTTGTTTTAAGTTTGTAATCAGTTAGCTCAGTTAGTTCAAGTTAGTTTATTAGTTAGCTGATTAGTTAACTGTTGTAATTCAGTTTATTAGTTAATTTTATAGTTGTATATAAACCAGCATTGTAACCTTTTCTGATATACAAGAAGCATTATTCATTTTCTGTGTTCTTGATCGTTATATGGTATCAGAAGTTTGTGTTTTTCTTCTCACGCTTCATCATGGTTGAATCGCTGAATGATAGTTTTGATAATGGGGCAAATCCTTATTACTTACACCAGTCTGATAATCCTGGTATGATATTAGTAAGGCAACTACTTTCCAATGATAATTTTCATAGCTGGAAAAGATCAATGATGCTCGCCTTATCTGCCAAGAACAAACTCGGTTTTGTTGATGGATCCATTCAAGCTCCTGATCCATCTATGGTAAACCAGTTCAATGCTTGGGCAAGAGCAAACAATTTGGTCAATTCTTGGCTTCTCAATTCAGTTTCCAAAGACATTGCTGCCAGTTTACTATACCATACGATTGCTGCTGAAATGTGGAATGATTTGGTCGATCGTTTCCAGCAATCAAATGGACCACTTTTGTTTCACTTAAAGAAACGATTGTGCGAGCTTGCACAAGACAAACTGTCAGTAAGTAATTACTATACTCAGTTGAAAATTGTTTGGGATGAACTGTTTTCAATTCGACAGTTATGTAGTTGTCTCCAGTGCAATTGTGGAGGAGTACAACGCATGCTTGCTGAACAACAGCAAGAACAAGTCATTCAATTCTTAATGGGGCTAAATGAGTCCTATGCTCATATAAGGGGTCAGATTCTGTTAATGGATCCTCTTCCTCCCATTTCAAAGGTTTTTTCTTTAGTTGTTCAAGAAGAAAATCAAAGAAACATGCAATCTCTTCCTCCCATTTCTGAGCCTGCATTTGCTGTCAAAGCTTATCCTGGAACGAACACTCGCAAGAACATAACTTTGTGCAGTCATTGTAACCTCCTTGGACATACAAAGGATAGATGCTATAAACTGATTGGCTATCCACCTGGTTATAACTCCAAGAATTGGTCTTCTTCGAATTCTTCTCGTGTTAAAAATTCTCAAGGTTCTCAAGTCATCCATACCAATTTTGTGGTTTCTCAACAAGGTTCTTCCACTGTCACTTAAGCTTTTACTCCTGAACAGTGCCAGCAGTTGATTGCCATGCTTACCTCTCAATTACAATCTGCATCCTCTTTGGACATTCCTACTACTTCAATCAATACTACTATGCAAGGTAAGATCATATCTCACATAACTGCTTCAGGTGCTGGAATATTTGATTATTGGATTTTAGACTCGGGAGCTTCAAGACATATATGTTGTTCAAGGAATAATTTTGAATCACTATTTCCTATAATGAGTTGTTCAGTCACTTTACCCAATGGATCCATCATTCTAGTAAGCTTTGCAGGCACAGTTCGATTTTCATCTGACTTTGTGTTACATGATGTAATGTTTGTTCCAGATTTTCAATTCAACTTGCTTTCAGTCAGTGCATTGTTGAAATTCTCTGATCTTAGTGTGTTGTTTTGCAAAACGGACTGCTTAATTCAGGACCTTCATCAAGTGATTGGGAGGGGTGAGCTGGGTCAAGGACTCTATTTGCTGCAAATGTCCTCATTCAAAACCAATGTCTCATGTAATAATGTTTATAGCATTTTGCCTAGTGACTGGCACAATAGGTTGGGTCATCCCAGTCTTCATGTTATGAATCTTCTCAAGGATGTTTTGGCTTTAAAGAATGTTAAAATGAAAGATTCTTGTCAAATTTTCCCATTGGCTAAGCAACAAAGATTGCCATTCCCAGTTTCTTGTTCTCATACTACTCGACTGTTTGAGTTAATCCATTGTGATATATGGGGACCTTACAAACACAAAACATATTTTGGCCAGACTCTTTTTTTAACCCTGGTCGATGATTTCTCAAGGTCTATCTGGGTATATTTGTTGCAGCATAAGTCCGATGTCAATACAATTATACATGCGTTTATATCAATGATCAAGAAACAATTTGAACTTGATATTAAGTTCTTTAGGTCTGATAATGCTCCTGAATTAAAATTCACTGAATTGTTCACTAGCTTGGGTATACTTCATCAATTCTCATGTGTTGAAACACCCCAACAAAATTCTGTGGTTAAAAGAAAACATCAGCATTTGTTAGTCGTTGCTCGTGCCTTGTATTTCCAATCAAAGGTGTCAATCAAATTTTGGGGTGATTGTTTACTCACTGCTACATACTTAATTAATCGACTTCCATCACCTGCATTGAGCAATAAATCTCCTTATAAGGTATTATACGGTCATCTACCTGATTACAGCAGACTACGAGCTTTTGGTTGCCTTTGTTTCGTTTCTACATTGAAGTCTCAACAGGATAAGTTTTCAGCTCGAGCTTTACCTGCGGTTTTTCTTGGATATCCTCCAGGTGTAAAGGGATATCGTGTTTATGTGCTGCAGAGCCAGAAGATTGTTACTTCTCGAAATGTCGTATTTCATGAAGGGATTTTTCCTTTTTGAAATACAAATTTATCTGACCATTCTGTTGATTGTTTTTCAGGATTTTTGCTTACCAAAAGCAGTACATGACATAATTGATATTTCACATGTACATGGGATTGAACAGGTTCCTCTTGAACCTACTGATTCGAATGGTGATGCTTCTTTTGACTCAAATGGCTCAACTAGTGGTGCTTCCTCTGAATGTGTTGATTCACATGACAATGTTCCCTTAGAACCTACTGACTCGAATAATGGTACTATCTCAACTGATGCTTTTTCAATACCAGTTCGACGTTCTTCTCGTACATTTCAAAAGCCATCTTACCTTCAGCAGTATTACTGTAACAATGCTTCCTCAAAATGCTTCTATCCTATTGAAGATTTCCTTTCTTCCTCAAAACTCTCAACTGAGTATGGAGCTTTTGTTGCAAATATCTCCTCTGTTGTTGAGCCATCCTATTATCATCAAGATGTAAAGTCCCTAACATGGAGGAATGCTATGAGTGACGAACTTCGAGCTATGGAGGATCTTAAAACATGGACCATTGTTCCATTACCTGATGGAAAGAAGGCAGTTGACTGTAAATGGGTCTATCGGGTGAAGTACAATGCTGATGGCTCGATTGATCGTTGTAAAGCCAGGCTGGTTACTAAGGGATTCACACAGGTTGAGGGAATTGACTACATGGACACATTCTCACCTGTTGCGAAGATGACTTCTTTTCGAGTCATGCTTTCTCTTGCAGCAACACGTAATTGGCATTTGTTGCAATTGGATGTAAACAATGCTTTCCTCAATGGTGTATTAGATGAGGAAGTTTACATGAAGCTGCCACTTGGATACAAATCTGAACTTAAAGGATCTAATATGGTTTGTAGACTCCACAAATCCATTTATGGTCTGAAGCAAGCTTCCAGACAGTGGTTTACTGTTTTTTCTAATGTTGTGATTCAACTTGGCTTTCAGCAATCTCCGTTTGAACACTCTTTGTTCACAAGGGGATGTGGAAATAAATTCATTGCTCTACTTGTATATGTCGATGATATTGTTTTGGTTGGGGAAGACTTACAAGCTCTTCATAACATACAAAGTCTTTTACAACAGCATTTCAAGCTAAAGGAGTTGGGACCCTTACGTTATTTTTTGAGCTTTGAAATTGCTAGGAATAGTTCTGGAATTATTCTATCCCAGAGGAAATATGCGTTACAGCTACTAGAAGATACAGGCTGCTTGGGTATCAAACCAACCGAATCACCCATGCCTTTTTCATTGAAGTTAAGTGCAAATGAAGGAACTTTACTCTCTGATCCTCAGGAGTATAGACGATTGATAGGCCGTCTGTTGTACTTGACTAATACAAGGCCAGACATCGTTCATACTGTACATTTATTGAGCCAATTTGTTTCCTCACCTCGCCTGCCTCACATGACTGCTTTAAAACATCTTCTGACATACATTAAAAGCTCTCCTGGTCTCGGTTTACTATTTCCAGTTCGATCCACCAATCATCTGAGCATATTTGTTGATTCATATTACAACTCTTGTCCTGATACAAGACGTTCCACAACAGGTTTTTGTGCTTTCTTTGGTCATAGCCTGGTTTCCTGGAAATTGAAGAAACAGGATGTTGTTAGCCGATCTTCCTGCGAGGCTGAATATTGAGCTATGGCTATAGCTACGTGTGAATTGGTTTGGCTTGTCTCTTTGTTATCTTCATTTCATGAGGATGTTGATTATGCTAGGCTATATTGCGATAATCAGGCTGCAATTAACCTTGCAACTAATCAAGTGTTTCATGAAAGAACAAAACATATAGAGGTTGATTGTCACTTTGTACGAGACAAGGTAAAGGCTGGGTTCTTGAAGCTATTTCACGTTCGATCCTCTGACCAGTTGGCTGACATTTTCACAAAAACTCTTCGGCCTCCTGTACATCGTGATTTCATTACCAAGCTGGGCCTTTTTAACATACATGCACATCCAGCTTGAGGGGGGTATT